TGGGATCAGCAACGATCGCCGCCGCTCCTGCTCCCGTTCACTTCGGCTTCGCGACTGCCCCAGCTGCATCAAGCACGCCGCTACTCCAGCACGCACCTCAGCACTCGAATGCTGGCACCACCTCCGCCTCTTCCGCGACCACTACGAGCGCGCAGTTCCCGTCGTCCACCTTCAGAGACGCCGTCTCGGTGCCCTTTCCTCTCTCCTCCTCTTCTTCTGCCAGCTCTGCCATCAACAACAGCAACAACCCGTTCGCCCCTCTCGAGCACGGCAACGGCATGGGACGGAAACGGCAGTACTTCGAGTTTTTCTTCGATGCTCCGCCCAACCTCACCGTGCCCTCTGGCGGCGCGCTGCCCGCCAACGGCGGCGGCTTCCAGTTCACGCCGTCGTCGCACTCCACCTCGACGTCCATCTCGCCCGCGGCTGCTCCCTCGTCTTCGTCTCTCGTCGGTTCATCGTCGGCCGGCGGCGGCGCAGGCGAGAGCGACGGCGCGATGGACTTCAGCTGCTACGAGCACCAGGTCAAGAGGTATCGAAGGGAGGAGGAACAACAGCAACATCATCAACAACAGCACCATCAGCAGCACAATCCGCCACCGCATCGCACGTCGGCCAACACCTCCTAATCCCTCCGCCTCCACCCTCCTCCTTGCCTCATCATGTACATAACAAGGCCATTGCTTCCCTCTTGCCCCTCCGCCCCAGCCCTGTTCTCCAGTAAAGCCTCTTGTCCACCACAACCTTGTCAGCTGCTACTTGAAATGCCCATGCTGGTGCGGCCGCACGTGAAAGAGAAAGAGAACCAACAGCAGCAGCAACACCAAGCTGTCTGCACGAGCCAGACACTTTAAGTGGGAGTGGGTTCGTCTCGTTTGGTGCCGATGCAGCTGAAGGCGACTTGGTGTTGCATGGCAGACCAAGACGAGAACTGGACCGAGCGCGGTCGTGTGTGATGGCCTCGCGCCCGGAAAAATCCCAGCGATAACGGTGGTGTGTCTTTGAAACAACAAAAGAGGAAGAGAATAGTGGACCATGCTTGAGGTGGGGGGCGGCAAGCCCCTTATGAAGAAGAAGGAGTCGGGAGGCAGCATGAAGGATGCACTCAAGCGACGATTTACCGTGCACAAGCCCCAGTTCACCTCGGACGTCGTAGATGCGTTCGAGAAAATCAAATCCTTTTCTCGAGGAGGGTACGATTCCACTGATTGCAAGTCCAGTTGTACCTCTTGCTCTTTTGCACCATTGATCTCATTCGTTCTTTGGAAATGCTTAATCCCTTCGTAACCGCAATTTAAACACACAGATATCTCTTAAAAATCGAACGCGTGCCAGAGAAGGAGACGAGCAGCGACCACGGTGGCCAGGAGGCGAGCCTTGTGGTCAAGTGGCGCGCTCCCATCGATCACCCCACCTCTGACTGGATCGGTACGCGCCACCTCGTGTCAGCTGAGTATTCGGCCCTTTTATTTTGGGTGCTGCAGGCGTGTGGTGCACGCATTTTGGGTGCTGCTGTGCGGTCGGCAGTGGCAGAGCTCTAACAGTGTCGGCCTTTGCATGATACCACCCACAGGCATATGGCCCATGGGGAGCAGCAGGGCCGTCCGGAAACTGGGTCGAATGATGCAGGGGTCTGATGAGACCCCCACTCGGTCGCACACCAGCCAGCCCGTGGCGGGCAAGTGTTGGGCCTTTGTGCCCAAGGGCAGGAAGGGAATCGTTACATTCTCGGGTACGCTGTCCTTTCGAGCTTCTTCTGAAGTCATCGCGTGGGCGTGTTTGTTGCTCTTGAGGGCGAAAGTCACAGCATACAGTTCTCACGCCCGGAATGTTGTTGTAGGAGATAAGCTACCAGCGTGGGAAGGCCGATTCCGTATCAACTACGTGCTCGAGGGTGATCCTTGGTCGGAGCAAACGATTGCCCTTCAAGGACCCGAGTTCAACATTGTTGACGACAAGTGCGCGCCATGCCCGCGTCAAGGTACGTGTGCGCACAGCGCCTAGGCGAGCAATTTGAGTAGCATTGTGCTCAGTCTCTAATGGGTGGTGCGTCTGTGTAGAACTCAAGGGCAGCTCTGGAGGAGGGCCACTGAGTCCTCGGACCGGTGGTATGACGTTCAGCCTTTCGTACGAGGCGCCAACCGCCGTAGACGAAGAAGAGAAGCAGCGAGCGTGGCGAGAGGATTGGCTGGCGTCGGTGGAGGAAGCTGACCAAGCTCGGTTGCTCGAGTGGGAGGCCAAGCGATTACCGTGCCAGAAGGGCGGGCAAACGCTCGCGGAGGTGACGTTCAAGGTGCCCCAGCAGATTCGATCTCTGCGAAGTCGCAACGACTCGTCATCGGACTCAGACTCGGAAGCGGAGGAAGAGGAACGGGAGGACGAAGAGGGCAGCGGCAGCCGACAGGTGACGTGGAAGGAGAAGGAGCGGACGCTGACGATGAAGAGCGAGGACGGGCGAGGAGTGATCGAGGGCTGGAAAAAGAACTCGCGAGGCGGCAAGAAGGAGCTTCGGCGATCGACGTCGGACAACGAGCCCGGTATCGACGCCGAGGCACCGCGGCTGCAATCGTCGGCGTCGTTCAGCCCCGTGGTGTCCATTATCGACATCGACGGCACCGAGACGGTGGTGAAGGCCCCGAAGGAGAAGCAGGAGCGGCGGCGAGGGGGATCCCTGCGCAGGAAGAAGCCGGAGGCGACCATCGCCCTCACCCACTCGTCACCCTCATCGATCCCCGTGCTCCACCTGAGCCCGACGCCATTCGCCGAGGCCTCGCATTCGCTCGAGTCACTCACGCTGTCGCCCTCTTTCAGCCCGGTATCTTCCGCGGCCTCCTCTCCCGCCGCGCGACCCGCCGTCTTCTGCGAAGAGTCGCCGCCAGCCGACCTCCTCGGCGAGAAGAAATTCAAGTCTTCGATCAAGTCGGCGAAGAAGAAGAAGAAGAAGAAGGAGAGCGCGATCAGGTCGCCCAAGGGGTCCAAGGTGGCCAAGGCCTCCGACGACGCCAAGCAGCAACAGCAACAGCCGACGCACACGACCACCACCACCACCACGAGCAGCGGCGCTACTACCAGTGGCAGCGATGTGGTAGTGCGACCAGCTCCGGGGCCATCGGTGGAGAGCGATGAGCCACGTACGTTGCGGAAGAGCAGCACAGGAAGCGAGCGGAGTCGCGGCGCGACGACGATGGAGCGGGCGAAGACGAAAGCCACGGCGGATGAGCTGAAGCAAAAGAAGAAGTGGCAGGAACAGAAGAAGGACGGTCAAGTAGAGGAGGAGCTCATCACGATGCAGCGAGGTGAACACCGCGACCTATTTGGAGTGACGGAGCGCTACCAGATCGAGATGGGCAGAGTGACCTTCTCGGAGGAGTTCATCTTCTACTTCCTCATCTTCGCCCTCGTCGTCTTCCTCATCTTCCACAACGCCTTCCACGAACTGCGACTGGTCCTCATCGGCCACAAGTGACCCCACCGCCCGCCGCCAGCTTCTTTTCTTCGTCGGCCATGCGGTCGCCCCTGTACATGCCGTGCTTAATTTATTGACATTTTCGAAAATAAAATATGAAACAAGAAAAACGTCATTTATCATTCTTGCTCGTCTGCGCAGTGTAGAGAGGGAATTGGTGTGTGTGTGCAGGTGATGGCACGATTGTGGAACGAATCCGAGAGACCCATCAGGTAACCTGCCTTGCGCACCTGACAAAGAGCACAGCCACAAGGGGTACGGTAGTGCTCGATCCGGACCCCGCACAAGCATTAGGCGATCTTGGGACATTCCGCCGCGGCCAAATACAAAAACAATAATTTTCTGGCGAAGTCTGTCACAACAGGCAGATGCGTCGCCGGCTGGTAGTGGGCGCTGCAAGCACCTGGGCAGCTGGCTTGCCGCAGGGCGCTGCAGCCACCTTTCGGGCCGCCCGTGTGCGCCCCTTTACGCGCTGTTTGGCAACCAGTACTGCCCCCCCCCACACAGTCTTTTTTCCGTTACGCCCCGACCGTGCCCCGTGTGTTGCGCTCACCGTTCGCCCCCCCCCCGGGGGGCAAACCAAACTGCTGCAGAAGTGGAGAAGGCGACCATCTTCGCCACCAGCAAGGGACGCAAGGTCAGGCGCATACAGCGACCCTTCACTCTCGAGCTGGGCGGCACGCTTCCCGAGGTGCGCCATCCTCTGTCTGTGCCCGACAGACCACTTCATCTCTTCCCGCTCTTCCTCTCGCCTCATTCTCTGTGAGTGCTCCGGCAGCTGGAAATCGTGTACGAGGAATGGGGAAACGCGCACAACCCGGTCGTGCTCCTCTTCCCCTCCCTATCCGTCGGCTCGCACGCCAGGTACACACTCTCTGCTCCGCCAGCAGCTGCCCGATAACCTCGACGCTTTCATTTCTCGTGATTGCGCAACAGATCAAGCGTGGACGATCCGACGGCAGGCTGGTGGGAAGGTGCGCCTCACAGTGAAGCCCCCCCCCTTTTGATCTCGTCACTGAACTCCACTCGTGTGCGCAACAGCCATGCTCGGTCCCTCCAAGGGGATCAGCACGGAGAAGTTTCGGGTTATATGTCCCGCAGGCTTGGGGTCTCCCTTTGGCTCCACCTCCCCCCTGGTAATGCCATCAATCGCTCGCTTTGGAGGCCTTCAAGCAGCAGTCGCGGTCTCGCATCTGACATCGGCGCTGGTGCGTATCGCTGTGTGATGCTCGTCTCTCCCAGAGTATCAATCCGGCCACGGGCAAGGCCTACAACGGCACCTTCCCTCAGATCACGCCCAGAGGTACATGACAGACCGAGAGCGTGGGTCCACGCGTGTGCATGTGTATGAGTGTGTGCGCGCGTGTGTGTATGAGTGTGTGCGCGTGTGTGCGTGCGTGTGCGCGTGTGTGTCACCTTGATCGTAATCTTGTGGTGGTTCCGGTGCTAGACATGGCGCGAGCGCATATGGCCCTGCTGGAGAGCTTGAGTGTACATAAAGCCCACGCGCTCGTGGGCGCTTCGCTGGGTACTAATACCCCGCTCTCTCTCTCTCTCTCTCTCTTTGCCACACTTTAACGCGTTGCTCTGTCTCTGACGCTGACCCGCTGACGAATGAATGTCACCGTTCGCCAGGCGGGTGCGTGGCGCTGTCGTTTGCCTCCGAGTATCCAGACTTCGTCGACAACCTCTGCGTCATCTCCTGCACCGGTATGACCAACAAGCCGGTATGAGTTGTGGACGTACAATATGGGCGGCACTCACCCGTTCGGTCCTGCGGCAACGCAACAGGCAAATCAACGCCGGGGAGTGTGGCCTTGCGGCACATACAAAGGCAGGCCGTGCTGAGGGACCCGAACTACTGGTACTCTTAGTGCCCTTCTTTTTTTATTATTATTTATTGGTGGAGGCGAACACAAGACAGCCCACCATCATCACACCGACATCACAGCAACGGCAACTACCGAGAGCAGGGCGTCAACCCCTCCAACGGCATGGCTGTGGCACGACAACTGGGTATGTCTGCGCTGCGGGGGTGGTGGCCGTCAGAGGACCCCGAGGTCACCTAAGCTCACATTGTTCCCCCATTTCTTGGCCTCGCCTTTCCTAGGAATGGTGACTTATCGAACGAGAGAGGAATTCAACCAACGCTTCAGCTGGGATGCGGCTGGCCCCTACCACCTCGGCGACGCCATCAACTTCGAAGTGGAGTCGTATCTCCAAAACAAAGGTTCGCCGTACTGCACCAGGGTCGCCGTCGTTGGTGCCATTCCACCGCGATTGCGATTGAGGAAAGAATGTGGTAGGTCTGACCCACTCAATCCGCATCCACAGCCGGTTCGTTCGTCGACAACTACGATCCCAACAGCTACCTCTTACTCTCGTACGCACCACCAGTACTGATGATTATATATTTTTATTTTATATTTGTGAGCCGGGCCCTCATCGGTGCTGCTTGGGGGGGGGGGCAGGAAATGCACGGACCTCATGGACCTGGGCCGAGGCCACAAGAACTTCTCCGAGGGGCTGCTCCGCATCAACTCAAAGGGTGCGTAGCGCTCGCATAACCCTTCGTGTGACCGCGCATTCACGGGTTGGCCTGTGATTCGCTAACTCGACTCTCTCTATATATCGACGAATCCTGGGTTCAACCCAGTCATGATCATGGGCGTCGATTCGGATTTCCTCATTCCACCATCGGAGCAGCAGTACATGCACCATCTCCTGCAAGGTGCGCTCACTCACCCCGGAGGCTCTTCTGTTCGTTCCGAGCAACGTTGTGTTCTCTCTCCTGAGAGAGCTGAAATGTGTTCACGTTTGCCATGACCTTGCCCAGCCCACGGCAAGGACGTGCGACTGCGGACCTGCGGCTCGATCTACGGCCACGACGCCTTCCTGCTGGACATGGGCTGGTTCCTCCCGCACATCCGGGACTTCCTGGAGCATGACCACCAGCGCCACCACCACCACAGCCACCCCGCCTTCGTCCATCCCAACTAGAGTTACCTGGGCACGGAATCGGTCAGATGTCATGACCTTTACAGCGCTGTCGAGGGATCTCGTGTGCAGCACCAGCAACACACGACACCACCAAACACAAAACACGACACAACCGCAACTTGCCGCTGCCCGGAATGAAAGGCATGCACGAGCGCATTCCTCTCTTAATTAATAGGTTCCAACGGGTTGTTGGGTACTTCGTCGCTTTCTGCGTGTTATCCTGGACTGCTGGTTCTCGCCCCCCTCGCTGGAAAAGAAAGAGAGAGGAGCCGGGAGGAGGAAACTGTGGAGCCGTGGCAGGTGACGACGGAGCACCAGGAGGAGAAGGAGAGGATTTTTTTGCAACAAAGAAAAGAGAGATGGCCGAGAGCGGAGGCGGAGAGACCGTTTTCTATGCCCGCGCCCTACAAAACTGGAAGAGCAAGGACAAAGGGTACCCCCCTCGTGATTAATTTATATATTTCATTTCTTTTATTTGATTTTAGTATTACTCGTGGCCTCACTCAGTTTCCACCAGTTATTTATTTATTTATTTATTTATTTCCTTTTACGCGTTACGGTGTTAGCCCAATTCTCATAATACATCCAATAATTCTTTGGCACACCACCAACCGCAACAACTAAAACCATCAAATGTAAAGGGCGCTGTCTCTGTCAAAGGGCGGGCTGGTGAAGGTGCTGTCGGGGTCGGCGGACGGCGAGAAGTTCTTTGGCGAGGTCGGGAAGAAGAAGGGCTGGTTTCCGCAGATCTACGTCAAGCGTGAGGCGGCCGGCGGGATCGTGCAGTCCTTCCGTCCGAGTGGCGGCGACTCCGGCGACGGCGACAGTAGCCCTCCCGCCATCAGCGGACCCACCCACGTGCGCCAACACTCACAGAGCCTCGAGACCCTCTCCCTGCTCGCCGATCAGCTCCCGCCCAACGCCATCGCCGTACGCGCCTTCTTCGCTTTCGTTCTTTTTAGTCGCCTTCGCTCTTTCCCTTTCGCTTTCGTTCTCCGATCGCCGGTGCTTGCTGAGAAACTAAACTCTTTGGCCGTCGGGTGCAGGACCTCGGAGATGGCAAGGCGAAGGAGGAGGCCGCCGGCGCGCCGCAGGATGATGGCGAAGGCGGGTCGGGCTCGCGCATACTGAAGCGATCGGTCACCGTGAACCACCTGCGCCAGCAGAGCGCCGGGGGCTCTGCGGAGGACCGGATGCGGCTGGACGACATTTTGCGGGGCAGCGGCGGCCGGTTCCTGGGGCGCAGCCTCGAGCAGCCGCGGATTCCGGAGGTGGGCGAGGAGGAGTACGCGGCCGGCGCGCAGGACAGCGACCACAGCGGAGTGGACAAGCTCACCGAGGAGCAGAACGCGGCCATCGCGCGGCTCAAGCGCAACCGCACGCTGCCGCACCTGCGGCCGCCGATGCCCTCCGTCTCACACTCGCCCGTAACGATGGCCTTCTCCAATCCGGCCCTGTCGCCGTCGTCCATCTCTATGACCGCGTCAGCGCCCGTGTCGCCGCGCTCGTCGTCGCCGCGCACCAGCCTGCGCCCGATCCTGCACAACGGCACCACCTCGCACTCCTTCGGCACTCTCCCGCTCAACGCGCTCGGCTCTCCCTCCGGCGCAGGAGGACCCTCTTCGCCGCGCTCCCGCGTGATGTCGGTCTACCAGCCGCTGTCGCAGCCTTCGTCGCCGACGTCATCGTCGTCATCGCCCCCGGCATCTCTCTCCTCCAACCCGCTCGAGTCCCCGCGCCGCACGCGCTCCTCGTCATCGCACTCGGCGCCGCACCCGGTCATCACCTCCATCTTCCCGCAGCGCTCGCTGTCGATGGAGGCGCAGGCCGTGCAGCAGTCGTCAATGAACAACGGGCCGTCGCCGCTATCGAAGCTTGGCGCCACGTCGACGTCGTCGCGTCGGCAGAGCAAGTCGCATCGGGATGAGAAGAAGGAGGAGAAGAAGAAGAAAAAGGAGGAGAAGAAGGAGAAGCGCGAGGGCAGCCGGCGGAAGCCCAACCCGAAGAAGGGCAGCACACGGCAGCCCGGACGTGCGTCGGGCAAGGAGGTGTTCGGCGTCTCGCTCGAGGAGCTGATGCAGCGGCAGCGACTGGACCATCCGCACCTCCAGGTGCCTATCGTGCTGCTCAACTGTGCACACGCCATCATTCTCCTCGAGGGCCACAAGAAGGAGGGCATTTTCAGGTAACCATACGACACACACGGCACAACCTGCCGCCACCACCGCCTTTTCCATGGCTATCGAGGCTTAGTGCTGCTCGCACACAGGATTTCGGGCAACGCGCACAATTTGGAGGCACTGAAGGAGACGATACGAGAGCAGGAGTATGCCGACGACTTCCTCGACGCCCACAACGCTGCATCGCTCATGAAGCTCTGGCTATCGTCGCTCCCGCAATCCCTCATCCCCGACACCCTCACGTACGCTTCGCTCCGTCCTTGCCCGCCGCGGGCGTCGGTCAGTGGCTTACCTTCTCTTCTCTCGCCAGGCAACGATGCACGGAGAGCATCGGCGATCCCGAGAAGAGCCTGGCGATCGTGAGCGAGATGCCGGAGATCAACCAGAAGACGCTCGGCTACGTGATCCAGTTCCTGCAGCAGCTCATCCTCCCCGAGAAGGCCGTCACCAAGATGGACGAGGACAACTTGGCGATGACCCTCGTCCCAGTCATCTTCGACCAGAACGGCGCAATCGGTACGCACGCACGCACGCACGCACGCGTGTTGGTTGAGCACGACCCGCTGAGCCTTTTCGTCTTCGTCTTCGTCTTCCTTGTTGTTGTTAGGCGACATGGCGGAGATCGTGAAGCAGACGCAGCTGCAGAAGATGTTTGTGGTCAATCTCCTCCAGCACATGCAGTTCGCCACGCCTCTCGCGTGGAAGACTTTGAAGACGCCATCGAGGTGATCAACATCAAGACCGCGGCCAACCAGCAGATGGCCCGCGAGCTCAAGAAGAAGGGCAAGGCCGGCGGGCTCATCGGCGGCCTGGTGAAGCCCTTTTCGCCGGGGGAGAAGGCCAGCAAGGAGGGCGCGCAGTACAACACCTACCACCCGTCGTCCGGTCCACTCGCCTCGCCGCGATACGAGGACCTGTCGAGCAGCGGCAGCGGGGCCGTCGTGGAGGAGGTGACCACCGAGGAGGAGACCGAGGAGGAGGACGAGCTGTACGAATTCGGATGAGAGCGCAGGCTACCACCACCCCGTATGGGGACCGCGGGCTGGCCAACATCTTTAGTTGTAAATCTATAACCCTTCGTTAGGAATACTGTGTGTAAGCATCATCACTTCCTCCTCTCCGTTTACAAGTGTGCATTGGTCGCAGAGTCAGTTGTGTTGCTGGCTGTCGGAGACTTTCGTGAGCAAAACAAAAAACAAAATTATTTTAGCGTCATTTTCACGACAGACACGCAGATTCGATTTGTCAATTCAATGGCGGCACGCAAGGGCAGCAGCGGTTTCCTCTCTCGCATCTCTTCCTCCTTCAAGCCCGTCTCTGGCTACCAGGCCTACGGTACGGCGCCACGACGTCGATGTTTCCCTCGCACTCCGGAGCGTTGCTGCTTTTCCTCACATCCCCCCCTCCCTCAATTTCTCATCGTGCAGGTCTCAGGCTCGAGGATTTCTACAATGCCGAGAACCCCGAGATCCAGGAGGTGCTGAGGAGGCTCCCCAACAAGACCAAGGAGGAGAGGGACCTCAGGATCCGTCGCGGTCATGAGCTCCACTTGAAGGGCACTACCCTGCCCGAATCGTCGTGGACCACCCCTGAGGAGGATGGTCAGACCTACATGGAGCCCTACATGAGCGAGGTTGTCCAGGAAATCGAGGAGAGGAAGGACTTCCGGGCCGACTTCTTGCGTACGAACCCCCCCCCGCCGATTTATTGGATGCTGCGAGCCTCCGGCTCACTCGCGCGTCTTGTTGTGTGGCTGCAGTCCCCGTGGAGAAGAGGCACAAGCGCAAGTAGATGGAGCTGTTGTGATTATTGCAGAATAAATTGTGCGTATCTACATCTACCTCTACATCACGCCTCTTCATTCTTCCAAGCAAGCAAAGCATCGGAAATGAACGACGCTCGCGGTCTCTTGCCTTGAGTGATCTCATTATGGGGATCCTTCAGCACGGACCATTCGCCCTGCACACACGCCGGCGATTAATGTCGTGTGCACGAGAGATTGGCAGGGTGAGGGAGCCAAACCTCTGGCCCCTTAGGGAAATCGGCGGGTATGTCTATCTCATCGCTCCAGACGACAGATTCGACATTTCCGCCCTCCTTCTTGCAGATGACGACGATGCAGGCCGCATCCACCCACTTGAGCTGTCCCTCGTGCTCGACTTGGTACATCCCATTCTCAATACCTACCCACAAATCTGCGTCTGTGGTAGAAGGTCAGCTGAGACCGTTGTGGCAGGCAGCAACAGGCCTGCGTACCGGGCTTGGCCTTGTGCGCCTCCACCGCTCTGTGCCGAGCCCCTGCATCGGAGGGGTTGTGCGTGAGCGTCGAGTGTCGTGGCACACAGCAGCGTGTGCTTACCTTCTTCCGTTTGAGGGCGGCCCACGGGCTGGGGTGGTACTGCTGACACCACCTCCACACCGCTGACTGAGGCGTCAGGGTACACCTTCTGCAGAGCCGCCAGCTTTATGGCACTTGCGGACCCGACCACCACCTTCATGGTACAGTTGACTGTTGTCGGCGTGCGTTGCTGGCTTTGCGTGTTTGACCAGAGAAAAGAGAAGGGAAAAATCCAATGTGACCGGTGCAGTGTCCCTCAAGGAAGTGTAACAATCCGAGTCACGCGCAGCGGGCGGTTGTAGATACATACTTGTACAAAGGCTTACAGGGTGCTCCAGACAAACACCAGCGCCAAGTGACACAACCTTATGGTTTAATTTTACTCTGTTTTCCCTTTTTTGGGCTAAATCATTTCCTGTAATTAAAAAATTGGGCCTTTTGTCTGTACTTGCTGAACGGCGCCAAACTTGTTTGCCACAAGAATGAGGAGATCATCGAGGAGAAAGCGCGAGGAGGAGCCGGGAGAAGAGGAGGAGGAAGAGGTGGCGCCTCCCCCGCCGAAGCGAAAGGCGCCGGCCAGGAAGGCCAGTGTCAGAAACAAACAGAAAACAAGAGGAAGACGAAGATGAACAAGAAGTGGCGGAAGCAGCTCCGGTAGCCAAACGTACATCGGCAAGATTGAGAGGTAAGGCGGCACCCAAGGAAGAAGTCGTGGCACCTCCGCCGATCCAGCCCAAGCCCGGCCGTGGGCGGATCCTGACGCGGATCAACAGGGCGCGTGCCGAAGAAGAGGCCAAGCAGCGCCGAGAAGCCCGGGCTGCGGCTGCTGCTGAAAAGGAAGCGGCGGAGGCGAAGCAGGCCGAGGGTGGAGAAGCCGAGGCGACAGCGGCGGCGACGAGTGGCGAGGCAGGTCGACCGAAGCTGCAGCGTACGTCGAGCTTCTCGCGGAACGATTTGTTGAACTCGTCATTTCGCGATCTGTTTGGGTTGCTCAAGCGCCGCCATGCACCCTCCGCCTCGGCAGCCAAAGACCTGGTACCCCTCTTCCCTACCCTCTTCTCCCTCGACCACGAATATATATATTTTTTAAAAAAATATATTTCTTTTATTTGTATTTCATTCAATATGTAATTATGCATGGCTAATTAGTGTGTGCACACCAGGAGGAGAATGTGGACCGATGGCTCATGGATCCGGCCACGGGCGAGTTTCCAGACAGGTGCGTGGTTCAGCTTGAAGACGATCGTCTGGTGGTGTGCCCACTCTGAGGGTTCAGGCTCACTGTCGCCGTTCTCTCGTTGCAGGTGGGTGCTGCTCAACCACCATCACTGGGCGGTGAGCTTTGTGCGGCCCGATAAGCTGCTGTGTACCGCCGACGAGGAGGAAGAGATGGAATCGCTGCAGCTCATGCCATCGGTTCAAGTGTTCTCGCAAAAGGGGCCAGGCAGACGGAGAGTCAAGAACTCAGTACGTCTTTCGTCGTCGTCGTGGTTGCTGCGGCTTCCTGACCTTGGGGTTCACTCGTGTGCAGGGAGTGTTCGAGCAAAAGAAGCGGAAGGCCAAGGGCAAGCTCATAGACGAAGTCAGTGAAGAGGACGATGAGCACATTCCGCTCTACCTGGACCCGCCCGACGACGGCACCTGTTGCATAGATGAACTCCCTGCCGAGACCCTGCTGCACATCTTCTCCTTCATTCCCACTGGTCCGCATGCGCCGTCTCCACCACGACCCCTCCCCCACACCGCAGCTTTTGTGAGTTTCCTCACACCTCGTCTATATGTACACAGGTGCAATGGGGCGGGCCATGTACGTCTGTCGTACGTGGTGGGCCATTTTGAACGACAACCACTTGTGGAAGCAGCAGGCACTGCCACCACCAACCCTGTTCACTCCCCTCCACACTCCACACTCACATGCTTACCCCGCGTGTTGTTGGCTGTGGTGTGCTGTAGTGCGTGGCCGTCGAGGCCAGGGAAGGTGGTCCCTGGGAACCGAGGGCTCTACGGCGCCAGCAGCGTTAATAACCTGTACACATGCTCACATGTGAACTTGCATTCACCCATTCATTACTGACAACTGTGGCTAAATGTGCTCAGTGTCTACGCTATCGGCAAGCCCTTTACGGCGTGGGAGCCAGATACGGAAGAGCCTGCGCAAGTGCGGAACGACGTCTTCGGTCGCCCACTGGTACCGTGGCCCTCCCGTACCGCACTCGTGCCCCTCGATGGGTTGTTTGAGCTCACCACGACATCCCTTACGGACGTGCGAAGCCCCCGACGAAGGCCCACTTCGAAGAGTGCCAGATATGGAGCGCGGAAAAGAGGGCCAACATCGTTAGCGTCAAGAGCCTTGGCCGCGAGAAGGAGGCCGACCAAGGATACATCAAGTGCGTGCCGCTCTCCGTGTCGTATTCGCTCAACACGACCGACACCCGATCGACATTGTGAGCTCACTGTGGATCGCGGTCGGTTCACGCAGGATACCGTTCATGTGGTATTACAGGTCCAACTACACGGTCAATGGTGTCCACGAGATCACGTTCACGAAATACTCGGAGCCCTGGTGGTTTGCCCGGTACCAGACTAAGTCGACGTTCGAGAACAAGGTACGGCTGTACCAGACGATGCCGGCTCAGCCGCTCTTAGCTTGGCTCACACCCTATGCGCTTCTTGCCTCTTCCTCCAATGCTCAGTCTGAGCCGTTCCACAACCCCGATCTGTGGCGCTGGCGGCTGGTGCGCTCCGATGAAAACGAGGTGACCGGCTTTGTGCAGTTCAACATCGGTACTCGAGTCCCTCATCTGGCGCGCGAAAGTGAGTGCTGACCGCGCTTTGGTGCGCTGTCTGCGGCACAGGCCACTTCGAGCAGTTGGTCAAGGAGGGCAGGTGGCAAACCGAGCTACACAAGGAGGAGCTGGAGCTGCTCATCACGCTGCTCACGCAGTCGTACAACATCGATTGCGCGTACGGCATCACCCTCCCCCATTCACCCCCTGGACACCTCATGTCTCCCCCCCGGTGCCATAGTCCACCCCACTGACCGGGTGTCGATGCGTGGCAACATACAGACTCTACGAGCAACAGACCATACCTCGGTGGATGCAGAACAAAAAGCAGGAGGAGAAGCGAAAGCGGAGGCAGTCGGCGTCGCAGGACGGATCGCAGGAGCTCATTAGCGGGGACGCGGTACAGTTGCCTCCTTTTACTCGGAAAGAAGGCCCTCGATGGAGGCCTATCTGTGAACGTGATCAAGCGCTGACCAGTTCGCCTCCCAATCAAGGCCGCTGTGGAGCCCTTCCGCGTGGAGCAGCCACATGGAGTCGACATTGAGCTGTACTCCTACCAGAGGGAAACGCTCACGTGGATGAAGGTGCGCCGGCGACCTTCCTCCTCCCAGCCTTCTCCCTCTCCGCGCCAAGGGCAAACGTTTTCTCAACGCCTCTGTCTCGTTCCTGACAGGAAGTCGAGGAGATGGTGAGCAGAGGTCTGGGCTGGGAGGTGGTCCGCCTGCTGTCCTGGGAAGAGCAGACCGGAAGTCGGGTGCGCCCAAAGCCAGTTCCCTCCACGCCGCTAAGATCTCGAGATCAATTGGGCGAAACCTTGGACCAGCGCTTACACACGCACACAACACACGACACACAGGTGCTGTTTGACGAGGACGCCACGATTCATACCTACTCCACGCTCGACAAGGCCAAGCACCTGCGCACCCTGGTCACGCGAGGTGGCATGCTGGCCGACGAAATGGTATGTGCGCCTCCTTTCGTCGCCTCGCTCTCGAAGTCCTCACTACTCACTCACCGTGTGCTGCCGTGGCGGTATCTGTGTCTTATCACCCAGGGCCTGGGCAAGACTCTGGTCGTGCTTTCGCTCATCGCGATGCAGAAGGCAAACGTGGACAAGATCATCGCTCGCGATGACGAATTGCGTCCGCTGGACGAGGTTTCTGCCCCCTCCCCCTCTCTTATTTAACGGCCTTTCAACTGCTGGGGGGCGCCTCACTCGTAATTTGCGTCCTCGTAGAACACCTTCCGTTCGAAAGCCACCCTGGTCGTGTGCCCCAACCATCTCTGTAAGCAGGTGCGACTGCAGTGCGCGCACCCCAACCACGCGGTTGTGTCGACGCTCACACTTTGTGGCCTCCCCCGACACGTGCAGTGGGAAAATGAGATCAAGAAGCACACCAACCCGCGGCTCAAGACCTACGTGGTCAACACGGCCCGCGGCCACGAGAAGATCTCCTACAAGGATGTCATCAACGCCGACGTGGTGATCGTGTCGTTCACATTCCTCAGGTCCGTACTACCCTTGTTCCTCTCCTGCAACGCGCCAGCCACCGGAGGGGTGAAGTAAAGTCGTCTAACATGCGCCGTGTGACGCAACAGCAACCGTATCTACCTCACCACCAGCCCGTCCTGCACCCCGGCGCAGGTCAAGAGCCAATCAGGCGACTTCGACCCGCTCCGCGCGTTCTCTCCGGTCTTCCACCAGTTCAGGTACCTGACCGCCGTATGCGCACGCGACGATGTGCCCAGCATCACCCGTGGCGGTGTTGTAAAACATTTTTGCTATCTGGCACATGCGCAGGTGGCTCCGCATTGTGCTCGACGAGGGCCACGAGGTCATGTCCGATGCCGAGGGCTGAGCCCATCCTCGGCGTCATGAGCGACTACCAGTCCGTCTTCAGGTATTTTTCCTTAGCCTTAGCCTTTGCCAGCAACATCGTGCCCCTGACTGACTGATCGACCTGCGCGATTCTCCCGGGGCCAAGGTGGTACGTCACGGGAACGCCCTTCATGGCCGGCGTCAACTCCCTGCGCGGGGTGTTGTCCTACCTGCAGGTCCAGATCAAGGAGGACGACAGGAGCAGCCGCACCTATACACCCAACGTACGCTCATCCCCCCCTCTTTTTTTTATTCGTCAACCACTTGCTTCTCCCCACGAGTGCTCTGCCGGTGGTTGGATTGTGTGTGGGCTCACGCGAGCTCGCCATGGAATGTCTTTTTTATGCTCTGTTTGCCTGCTCGACCGAAAACCAACAGAGCGCCTCCACCCTCCGGGCCATTCTCGAGAGGGTACGGTCCTTGCTGCTCTTGGCCTCTCCCCTGCTCGGGCGCCGCTCACACTGTCGCACGTGGTGCAGGAGGCCATGCGCAACCTCTACTGCAGGCACACCAAGGCCAGCGTCGGCACCGAGTACACCCTGCCTGGCGTCGACGAGGAGGTACGCAATATTGGCGGAGACCCTGACCCACTGCGCGCGATGGCTGACCGACCACTCTTGCTGCTGGCTTCGTCTTCGTTCTTCTTTACTGTCTTCTTCAGGTCATCTTGATCAGGCACACGGAGGTGGAAAAGGCCCTGTACGAGGTGGCGCGAGTGGAGGGTCGCGACAAGGAGATGTTCCAGCTGTGCAGCCACCCCCAGATCTCCAACAACCAGTGCAGGCACGTACACCCCAGGACGCGCCTGCGCGCGCACGCACGCGCACTCACTCATGAGCTCGGCCTGTATGCGTCTTGTGTGACTTGGCCTCGGAATTGTGCGTCTATGCAGAGTCTTGGGCTCGGGGCAGATGGACCTGGACGACATCTTCCAGCAGGTCCTGAAACACAAGCTCGAGCAGATCAAGGACGCGGAGAAAGAGTTGGAAGAGACCGTGACCGACCTCGCAAAGCACCAGCGTAGGCTCAAGCAAATCCAGGTGCGACTCTTCTTCCTGTTGCGCGTTGCGTTTGTCGAGTGTCGTGTCGTGTCGTGCCAGGCCATCGGTCTGACCAGCGTTTCTTGCTCAGGTCGAGTTCGAAGCCGAGGTGAGGAAGGATCCCAACTGGAAGCCCAGCCGCACGCAGAACGACCGCAAGCGGGGCATGGAGCTCACCATCCGCCGGGAGGGCAAGGCCATCACCAAGCTCGAGAAGGACCTCGTGGCCTACCGCAAGTCGCTCGACGTGCTGGCGCAGATGAACCGCAAGCAGGGCTCCACCGCCGCGGCCTCCACGTCGTCCGACGCGATGGACGAGGAACAACGCGATGCGGCGGCCGACAAGCAGGTCTCTGCGGTGCCCAACGCGCGCTTCATGTCGTCGGATGAGGTCGACGAGTCGCTGGTCCAGCGCTACGGCTCCAAGATGGCGCACCTCTTCGTGTACGTCAAGGAGCTGGTCGAGAACGATGACAGCAACCGCGTCATCATCTTCTCGCAGTGGGACAAGATGCTGGGTCACGTCGGTACGCACACACCGCACACACACGAGACACGAGACACGACACCGGCGGAAATCTAATCATCGGCGATGTGCACACATCTAACTTCATGCAGGCGAGATCTTGGAGGACAACGGCATCGCCACCGTGTCCTGCCGGGGCAATGTGTACCAGCGCAACAAGGCCATCAGCGCCTTCCAGAACGCCGACGCGTCGGAGGACCAGCCCCGCGTTCTCATGCTCTCCCTGGTTCGTGTTCTCTCCTCTCTCTCCCCCAATGCGAGAAAGGTGGGCCTGAGGTGACGTGGTCTGTCGCCGACAACAGGAAAACGCGGCGTCGGGGACCAACCTGACTGGGGCGACCCACATCCTGCTGGTCGATCCCATCTCCGGATCTCGTAAGCGTGCGCGCGCTATTGAAGCCCAGGTCCCCCGCCCACTCCCTCCCACTTGTTC